TAGAAACACTCACTGCAGAAAATATATTTTTAGTGTTACATATACTGTTCATCGAATTATCAATAAAACTCATATATGGAGACAGTAGCCATGATGGTATGCCATTGCAGTATTTATTGGTCATTCCAGATGACCGAAATAACAAAGATAAGTAGTTTTAAAAATGTTATAAAGATAATCTCAGCTGTTGGCTTGTAATCAGTTTGAAAATGCTTGACTGAGAAAGCCCCTTTAGTGAATAATTGTTTTCTACTTACTACAAAGAGAAATATCAATATTCAAAATGGTTTCTGTTAAAAGGCTGAGGGTGGTACTTGTTTTCCCTGCAGCATGCATTCTACCATTTCAATTTGAACTTTTATGTTTTCTGTTACTTTTAAAATGCTATCTTTCAGGGATCATGTTTCATCTAGGCCACAGGTGTTTCTGAAGGGCTCACAAAGAACTAGAGTGCCTCTTCTCCATTTCAATGGGAAGTATGTCATAGGTGTCTGTTTGGCTGGGAAACTGATAATTGAAATGCATTAGCATTAGCAAACATGTTAAAACTGCATTGTTATGTCATTTTTTTGGAAATGTTAAATGTTCATTGTTGAAAGAGTGTGCGTTGGTTTTTTAAAAACTTTGACCAATATATAGGAAGCCTAAGGTTTAACAAAGCTAGACTGCCATCTGCTGATCAGATGCAGTTTTTGAAAACTTCATACAGCCGCTGACAACTACTAGTAACATTTATTTGGGGCATAATAGACTTTAGCTCACTTTATCAGGGGCAAACACACTGAATCAGGAGCAAGCTCTGGTTGAAAGCATACTATGCATTTTTCAGATACTTGGAATGGCCACTCAGAAATATTTTTCTCACCTCAAGTTAATGCACACCATTATCATCCACACTGTCTTCCTTACTTTCTCATAATTCTTCTAAAATATTTACTGAACATTTGGAGAGGGGGAGAGGAAAAGGGGAATAATCCTATAAGAACCTTCTCAAGGATACCTCCTTCATTGTCGCATCTGTATCCATTTCACCTGTAATGAATGAAGGATAGGCCTGAGTATTTTAATTTAGGACCAAGCAGTAGAATTTATGAGAATTATCAAGTCCACCAGGACATTTGGGTTTAACCTTGCACTAGTGACCTTTGTTTGCTCAGTAACTTTCTATATAGTATTTGAGTACTATACAACTAGTATATAGTACTTGCATAATCAATTAGATTTCAAAAATGTTTAGTACCAGCCACACAGAATTTTAGTAATAATGCTTCTGAGAGAAAAACTGATGAACATTTCTGGTGAAACATTTTATTGGTCAAAGTACATTTGTAATGTGCATGTGTCCCTTCAAGTTGCTTGTTGACTTATGGTAACCATTAATTTCATAGAGTTTTTTTTTAAGGCAAAGAATATTCAGAGGTAGTCTGACAGATTCTTTCCCTAAAATATAGACCACAGCTCCTGGGATCCATTGGTTTCCCATCCCATTACTAACAAAGCAGGGTTGCCTCTTTTGAGCTTCCAAGACCAGAACGGATCTGGTTCCTTTAGGATAATACTGTGGTATGTATTTATGCCTTGTGTTTGACATTTATATACACTGGTACCACTAGAGGCTGCCAGACACATACAACACTTAGAGGATTTAGTTTTTTGGTTTTTGGTTTGTTTTAATTGGCACATTTATACTCCTTTGTTGATAATATTGATTCCCAGTCCCACACTTACAACCAAACCAGTCTTCATGATTATGCTGGCTTCTAAAAGGTTTGAAACTGCAATGCAGCTGTTACTTAACATGGCCTTGGGACCTCCTTTTTTTAGTCCTTGCTTCCTGGCGCTATTTGTTCTTTTAGTTCCAAATTCTGCTTTAGCTATATAGGAGTGACCTAGATTTTGCAGTTTTGACAATTCTGTCTCACATTTTCCATCTTCTTCTTTGACTTGGAAAGTGAACAATGTCATTTTATGTGATCTTTTGTAAATGGGTTTGTGATTATTTCAGTCCTTTATGCTACATCTGGTGCTGTATCTCATTTGTTTATTATAACACTTTGCTTGTGCACATTACATTGTTTTGATGACAAATTTGCTTTCCATTGTCCATCTACAAATTTCAAATTTCATCTGTTAGGTGTCTCAAGTGTGCTGGCCATATTGATCATAGAAATACTCAGGAATGCTAGTTATGGAGAGACACCTGATCTAATATTTGCTTCCATTTTGGATTCATACAAAGATTTTCATAAGAGAAATATTCAAGGATGCTAGCTCATAAAATTGCAACTTGCAAGATTCCATAACATTGAGCCATGGCAGTTAAGATGCTGTCAAACAACATTAATTCTACAGTGTAGATGCACCCTAAGTCCCACTGTGGAGTAAGTCCCATTGGACATAATGAGAGTTGTAATTGAGCAAACATGCTTAGCGTTACACAGACATATGCTGTTTATCTTTTACACCAAGGTATTTAGTGGGGTATCCACAGTTTAAAGCAGTCTGTATTTATAGTCTTAAAAATTGATTTCTCTCTTCAGACTCACATCTCTTCAACTATATATATTCTGCAAAACTCTTGGGAAGACAGGCGGACAATGTCAGCATGCTTGAAGAAGCTAAAGCTATCAGTATTGAAGTCATGTTTCCCCACCATCAACTTTGCTGTCTGATGCCGTCTCCAAAAGCAGTTACTTTATTCTCAACTCAATGGAAAATGGAATGTTGATGGACAACAAGAAAGATTTATAGGGCCGGGATTTGGGACAGCTGGTTAATTACCAGCAGCAATAAGATCACACCAATCGAAAGTCTGGCAGTTTGAAGCCCGTGTTGGGTGGGCAACCAACCTCCAGCCCAGCTCACTGTCCACCTAAACAGTTCGAAAACATCTGTGAGCTGTGAGTAGAGAAATTAGGCACCGCTTAAGCAGGGAGGTATATTACAGCACCATAAAAAAAAGGAAATAACAGAAAATGCTGGCGATCATAGAATGGAGGAAGTCTGTGATCAAAGACTTTTCATCATAGAGGATGGAGTGACAGGACCCCCCCCCCCCCCCCCCCGGTCAGAATCAAGCACTAACTCCAGGAAGCCTGTCCTGTCTGTCTAACGGCACTGAATATTTGCCGAGTATATGTTCTGTGATCTGCCCTGACTCCCCTTTGGGGTGGGAAGGGTTGAATATAAATGCTGTAAATATAAATAAATAAAGATGGGTTTAAAATCTACAAAAGTGTGGAATAAACACAGAGCGAAGCCCCTGGTGGCGCAGTGGGTTAAACCCCTGTGCCGGCAGGACTGAAGACCAACAGGTCTGAATCCGGGGAGAGGCGGATGAGCTCCCTCTATCAGCTCCAGCTCCTCATGCAGGGACATGAGAGAAGCCTCCCACAAGGATGATAAAAACATCAAATCATCTGGGCGTCCCCTGGGCAACGTCCTTGCAGACAGTCAATTGTCTCACACCAGAAGCGACTTGCAGTTTCTCAAGTCACTCCTGACACAACAAAAAAAACAAACAAAACAAACAAAAACAAAACACAGAGCACTGGGAAGTTTTGCCCTCAAGCACTCTAACTGGAGCTCAGCTGTGACCAGCAGTGCTGTGGATTTTGAAGAGGCACAAATGGAGAGTGAATGCCAGCATTGCTTTTCATCTGGAAACTGATTTTCTCACTTTGAAAGACCATGCGGATCCAGAATAGGTCTCCAATCCCTTATAGATTCACTTGGCAGCTGATTAAATGTCCTTTGACCAGTATCTGGCCACTTGGAGCGCCTCTGGTGTTGCCGCAAGAAGGTCCTCCATCGTGCATGTGGCAGGGCTCAGGTTGCATTGCAGCATGTCGTGGATTCAACTTTTTAGCCCCATTTCTTAAGATTGGCTCTGCATCTCGTGGTGCCAGAGCACAGTCTGTTCAGTGCCTTCCAAGTCGCCCAGTCTTCTGTGTGCCCAGGGGGGAGTCTCTCATCTGGTATCACCCACGGATTGAGGTGCTGGGTTTGAGCCTGCCACTTTTGAACTCTCGCTTGCTGAGGTGTTCCAGCGAGTGTCTCTGTAGATCTAAGAATACTATTTCTTGATTTAAGTCGCTGACGTGCTGGCTGATACCCAAACAAGGGATGAGCTGGAGATGTCTCTGCCTTCGTCCTTTCACTATTGGCTGCAACTTCCCGGCGGATGTCGTAATGAAATCGCTTTAGAGAATGAGAGCGTCCACAAGTACAGAAGTTCCTAGTCTACGTGCGCATCTACACTACAGAATTAATGCAGTTGAGCACCACTTAAAACTGCTCTGGGTCAATGCTATGCGACCCTGGGAATTGTCCTTTTACAGAGCCTTTAGGTTGAGAACCACTGCTATAGATGGTTATTGTCAGTGGGGATACCGGGAGAGAAGAAAGGTGTATCTACACTTCAGCCCAACCGGTGTTTTGGACTTCCACTCCCACAATTCCTAACAGCAGGTTGTTGAAGTCCAAAACACATGAAAGGCCAAAGTGGGCCCATGCTTGCTCTACAATGCAGAACAGTGGTCCTCAACCTGTGGATCCCCAGATGTTTTGGCCTACAACTCCCAGAAATGCTAGCCGGTTTACCAGCTGTTAGGATTTCTGGGAGTTGAAGGCCAAAACATCTGGGGACCCATTGCTTGAGAACCACTGCGCAGCCTCCTCTGCCAATGAGGGCTGGTGCCTCACCAAACTACAGCTCCCATGATCTCACAGCATGGATCCAGTGGTCGCAAACATTAAGTCTATAGGATTGAGGCCCTCTACATTCCGGACTCCCGCGGCCTACTCGCAGTTGAAACCTGAAGTATCGAGTGGTTCGCGTGTCTGCCCTCCTCCTCCTCTATCGCCTCCGTTTCCGAGCGACCCGACAATGATTGGCTTAGGCCTCCCGGCGCAGAGCCAATCGGACCCGATCATACCGGAAGCATTTCCAATACGTCACAATAAATGTGGCGATGGCGCCTGCGCAGTGACACGTCTCCCTTCTCGCAGATGGGGTTGGAATCCAGGGAGCGAGAGAGAGAGAGAGAGGAAGGTTGGGAGAACGTGAACTTTCTCTCTCTCTCGCGCGCGCGCGCCGCTCTCGCGGGAACGGCGCAGAGGGCCAGCTCGAGAGCGCGCAGGAAGAAAAAGGAGAGCTGGGAGTAGGAGGAGAGTAGTCTGGAGGCGACGTGTGTGTGTGTGCGCGCGCGCGCGCGCTCATAGGGAAGGGGGCGGAGCTGAGGCGCGGCGCGCGGAGCTGAGGCGCGCGGGCGGCGGCGGCGGCCATGGCGGGGCAGCAGTTCCAGTACGACCACAGCGGCAACACCTTCTTCTACTTCCTCACCAGCTTCGTGGCCCTCATCGTCATCCCCGCCACCTACTACCTGTGGCCGCGGGACCAGCACGCCGGTGAGTGGGCCTCCTCTCCCAACTCCGGCTCCCGGCGGGCGGGCCTCCTTCCCTGCCTCACTTTATGGGCGCCGCTTTCCCCTTCCCCTCAGGAAGGCCCACCGGGAAGCCTCCCTCTCTTCGCCTCCCTCGAGAAAGCCTCCCTTGAGTGCCTCGATACTGGAGAATGAAGGCGGCTTGGCGCCCCTTGAACAGCCCTGGCTCAGTGCGAAGGAATCCTGGGAGCTGTGGTTTCACAAGGGCTTTAAGCCACCTCTGACTAAGAGTGCCTCGTCAGACTACAGGTCCCATTGTTCCATAGCATTGAGACCCAGGGTAATTAAAATGCATTCGTGCGTTTGCGCTCCAATGGTGTCGTCATCACTGTTCGTCACTCCCCTGGTGAACTGGCTCTCTTTCTACTTACAGGTCTCTTCACCTACTTATCTTAGTGTTTTGTGTTTTTTAAACTGTATAATGTTCTGTTCTTACTATGGTAGTACCTTAGGGCCGGGATGTAACGTTGCACTTACCTATAAAATTCATGGTTTCACCATAAGTCCACAATTCGCTTGAAGGCAATGTCGTTGTGGAGAATGGCCCCAACTAGTTGGGTTGTCGTCTTTCAAGGTGCCTTCTTCATGGGAAGCATGCAGGTCGAATGGGCATGCCTTACCAGGAAGTCCCGAAATCCAGGATACTCCCAAACCCTCCATATGGTTGGCCTTTGCTTCCTTCCTGAAGTTTGTGTTGTCAAAGGCTTTCATGGCCAGAATCACGGGGTTGCTGTGAGTTTACCAGGCTTGTATGGCCATGTTGCAGTAGCATTCTCTCCTGACGTTTCACCCACATCAGAGGTTGAGGGGTCTGTTGGAAACTAGGCAAGTGAGGTTGATATCTGTGGAATATCCAGGATGGGAGAAAGAACTCTTGTCTGCTTGAGGCAAGTGTGAATGTTACAAATGGCCACCTTGATTAGCATTTAATGGTCTTGCACGGCCAGCTAACACCTCCCAACCAAGGATTCTCCCAGGCAGTAATCAGCCAGGCTTTGAAGCTGTAAGGCCATTAAATGCTAATCAAGGTGGCCAGTTGCAACTCTTGTCTGCTTGAGGCATGTTGCAGTTGGCCACCTTGATTAGCATTGAATGGTTTTGCAATTTCAAAACCTGGCTGCTTCTTGGCTTTGAAGTTCCTGGTTTCCACACTTGCCTCAAGCCGACAAGAGTTCTTTCTCCCACCCCAGACATTCCACGGATATATCAACCTGACTTGCCTAGTTTCTAACAGACCCCTCAATCTCTGAGGATGCCTGCCATAGATGTGGGTGAAACATCAGGAGAGAATGGTTCTGGAACATGGCCATACAGCCCGGAAAACTCAAAGTAACTTACCCAAAGTTTGTTTCATGGAAAAAATTGTTTAGAATAGTTTGTATTTACTATTGCACACACTCTCTCTCTGTAGTGTATAAGAAATATAAGTGTTTAGATTTACCACACTCATCTAAGGTATCTCATCATTATATGCAAATATTCCAAAATCCGAAACACTTCTGGTCCCAAGCATTTTGGATAAAGGTACTCAAATCTTTCTTGGTTCTCAAGTGGGATATGAAATATCAGTAAATTTCATTTTTAGACTCTGGTCCTGTCTCCCAAGATATCTCATGTGTCTGTAAGTATTTCAGAATCCAAAATATGGTACCCGTCTCATCCTGTATAAGGGATACTCAGCAGCAATACTTTGTGAAGTCCCTCTCTCTGTTTTTTTCCCTTTCTCCTTACAGCTGTCTGTTGACGTTTTGGGCAACCTAGAGGAGTAAATCGTTTGTATTTCAAGAGTGAATGGATGTATGCATACTGCAGAATTATGGCAGTTTGAAACTACGTTAACTGCCATGGATCAGTGCTATAATAATAATAATTTTATTGATTAGCCCTTAGGCCATTTCACAATACCAAACCAAACAACAAGGCTTGATAAGGCTAGATTGTACTCTATGGCGTAAGTTAAAATAAGACACTTATAACAATACAGTTAATAAATATAAAACTGAAAATATACATCATATTTCCTTATCACCCCTACAGTTTATCCCGATCAGCCGCACATATGTGGTTCTCAAATTTATTGTTTTGTACTGTTTTATGTTATTTTGGGTTTTGGCCACACATAAAATATGTTGTTCTGATGTGAGATTCCTAATACATTGTCCATTTGATATGTGGGCCAAGGTAGAAGTCTCTTACCTTCAAATGACGTGTGCTATATCCTCAATTTCAGATGCTCCTCAGACACATCTGTTCATTATAAGGGATGCTGTTAAATCTCCCATATCTGACCATTGTACCAACCTGATCAAATCTAGTTTGAGTCAATACCTCCCTAAAATGTTTTGGCATTTGCATTTTAGATAGTTGGCAATTTGAAAGGTACATTTATATTGACTCAGTCATTTTAGGTTGGCAGTCTTTCTGAGGGTGGCTATATCTTGTTGTGCTTCTATGTCCAAAATTCTTTGTATAGCACTCTTTTTTAGTTGGTCTCTTAAAGCACAAGGTCAGTGTTATAGTTTTCTGGGTTTTGTAGTGTTGTGAGATTTTTAGGTACAGCTGCAAAAGAGCCACAAAAAACCTATAAATCTGAGACATCTATAGTAGTGAGGCATGGAAGTTAAAGTTGTATCATACTGCTAAAATTCTGCACTATAGTTAAACCCTATGTATTTATTTTGTCTTACTTTTGAATTTTTCATTGTTTCTGTGATTTATGGAATTATAGTATCTGAAAGGGCTCTCAAAGGTCCTTTCCATTTTCATATGTATTATATATGCTCACTGCAACTGTTTCCTATAAGCTTGCTGTGGACTCTCAGCCTGTGCCTCATGGATCAACACTAGTTTACAAGTCACTACTCTGACTAGCACTGATATTAGAGGACATAGAAAAAATGTGTGTATGTAACTCTTTGGTATGTGCATTGAAGTATCAGACAAACATAGCACAGCCATGTATTATGCTTTACTTTCTGGACTATAGTAATCTGTGTTGTGCTTCATTAACTTGGAAAAACATTGTTTATGTCACATGTGGCTTGTAAATTGGATTAGCACATTTCATGAGGAAAAAGTATGCCTTTGTTTTTGCTTTCTGACTGTGCAGATACATGCAATGGCCTTGTCTGAGTACCCTGATCCTTCCTAGGGAACATGAGCATTGAACATACAGATGTCAAGCAGTGATCTATGTTTTTTACATTGTCCTCCAGTCTAAATGTGATATTGGTATGAGATTCCTTTATTGTAGCCTTTATTTTAGCAAGAAACAAATGTGCAGCATGACACTAAACCATAGTCTGTGCACTATTAGTGGTTTCAATTCCAGTCTGCTAAAAAGGTATTGGGAACCCTCAAAAATGCTCTGGAATAAATAAGCCACATAGTAAGTAGTCACTGACTCTAATCATGCTTCTGGACTTCTTTCCTACTTCGCCTTATGTCTGTATTTATTACATTTCCACAAAACTAGTGTACATTATTATTTTTCTCATCTTTACCACAGTATACCACTGTCAGTTGGCCACTCACTTTTCGACTGCTCTGCGCTGTCATTTTGAAAGGATACATTTTTCAGTAGGCTGTATCCAATAGTACTCTTTCTCTGCTTGCTGTCATAATGGGAGTAAGTACAAGCCAGATGGCTGCTCTTTATATTGCTTTTTATTGTAATGCACTTATTCACAGCCATTATTAGCCTCATATACACTACTTTGTAGCTTTTTGTTGATAGGCTGACTTACTACCACACTCTGTGAAATTGGTAGTCTGAGATAGTTATGCCAGCATGAGAGAGAGCCCAAACAGCACAAGATGATATAAAATGGGATAATGGGAAAGAAGCATTTTTCTGAATATGTGGAAGTATTCTGAATATGTTGTATATAACTTCTTGGTATTTTAAAAAATGCAGACCAGGATGCAAACATTGTTGCACACTTTGGCGCCCATGATACTTTTGAAGATGGAGGAAGTCTGCTTCCTGAGCTCTGCAACAAATAAGGCATCTCAGCATCCTCAGCTTTTTAGCTCTGCTGGTTCCCGAGCACCTAGGTTTTTGCATCCTTAAAGTCAGCCAGAGCTTAGAATCAAGCAGCTAGTCATCAAGAGGGAAATTGCTGCCTGGTTCTAACTAGGCAAAAATAGAACTTTTCAATAGTAACATTTCTTACTGTCACTTTATAAGAATGTTGCCAAAACCATAATTGCCAGAAATATTATGCAGCATAGTGTATCTGTTTACATAGGTAAACAAGCACTAATCTTTAAACCATTTTGTCTTTATTTTGATATTGATTTACTTTGATCATCTAGAAGAGTTTGTTACAACAATTTTATTATTATTATTTTAGCTTGTTACTAGAGAAATGAGAGCAGGCTTGAACAGCATTTTAATTATCCTTCTTAAGTTACCTATTAAGGAGTTCCCAAAATAAAGAAAATCAAATTATCTACCTTTCCTGTTAATATCTCAGGTGATATTTTGCAATGTAAGCTGATTGTCTGTACTCAGAAGTTTACACAGATGCCTCCTAAATTTTGAAGTCTGTCTTCCTGAATGTTGTTGTCCATTTTTCTCCCTCTGTTTATACCATCTGAAATAAACAGTGCATTGGAAAAACAGACTTATATACTTGGACCAAAGCACTCCCAGATGGTGATATATGGCTGATCATCGTATCTCTAAATCCGATTTGCTAGTTTCTTATCTGAATGTTGTTCTCCTCTAAAGGAAGAGATACTGCCAAGGAAGACTAAAGAATATTCTGCTTTTGTGAGGCTCTTAAAATGACAATCTGCTTGAATCTGGAATGTGTTCAGAGGAGGGCAACTAAAATGATCAAGGGTCTGGAGAACAAGCCCTATGAGGAGCGGCTTAAAGAGCTGGGCATGTTTAGCCTGAAGAAGAGAAGGCTGAGAGGAGACACGATAGCCATGTATAATATGTGAGAGGAAGTCACA